CCTCTGTCCCGCCTCCGCCCCGCCTCTCTGGAAGCTCCAGTTTTCAGTTATTTAGAGATAAGAGTGTGTGCGATGTGATCGCTGGACTCTGCCCGATCAGATCGTCTGTCCCTCACATTCCTCCACAGTCTTATGCTGATGTCTCTTCTACTCTCCACAGTATTCCAAATACACATATTTGTATTTATCTGTATATGCGTGTGGTATATGTGTGTGGTATATGCGTGTGTGGTATATGTGTGTGGTATATGCGTGTGGTATATGCGTGTGGTATATGCGTGTGTGGTATATGCGTGTGAATGAGAGCTTAACACAGACACGTGTATAGAGTTTTCTCACTTTCTGGTCAATTCTAGACCATTTATCATAATCTGCAGCGCTCATCATAGTCCGCACATCATAGTCCGCACATCATAGTCCGCACATCATAGTCCGCTCACCATAGTCCGCTCATCATAGTCCGCTCATCATAGTCCGCTCATCATAGTCCGCTCATCATAGTCCGCTCATCATAGTCCGCTCATCATAGTCCGCTCATCATAGTCCGCTCATCATAGTCCGCTCATCATAGTCCGCTCATCATAGTCCGCTCATCATAGTCCGCTCATCATAGTCCGCTCATCATAGTCCGCTCATCATAGTCCGCTCATCATAGTCCGCTCATCATAGTCCGCTCATCATAGTCCGCTCATCATAGTCCGCTCATCATAGTCCGCTCATCATAGTCCGCTCATCATAGTCCGCTCATCATAGTCCGCTCATCATAGTCCGCACATCAAAATCCACTAATCAATAATCCGCACTGCCAGGGCCGGTGCTAGGATTCTAGGCAAGGTAGGCAAGGTGCATGTTTGCGCCTGACTTGCCTTGCGGTAGCGCCGGGCCTGCGCACTGCTCAGTAATCCGCACTCATAATCCGCACTGCTCATCATAATCCGCACATCATAATCCGCACCGCTCATCATAGTCCGCTCATCATAATCCGAATATCATAAGCCGCACATCATAATCCGCACATCATAATCCGCACCGCTCATCATAGTCCGCTCATCATAATCCGCACCGCTCATCATAGTCCGCTCATCATAATCCGCACTGCTCATCATAGTCCGCTCATCATAATCCGCACCGCTCATCATAGTCCGCTCATCATAATCCGAATATCATAATCCGCACATCATAATCCACACTACTCATCATAGTGCGCTCATCATAATCCGCATATAGCTGCTGGTATTCTGCATTGCTGTATAATGTAATGCTGGGATTTGTAGTCCTCTATAGCTGGTATTATTCTGCAATGCTGTATAATGTATTGCTGGGATTTGTAGTCCTCTATAGCTGGTGGTATTATTCTGCATTGCTGTATAATGCATTGCTGGGATTTGTAGTCCCTCTACAGCTTGGAGTCAGCGGCAGAACTACCGGGGAGGTATCAGTAACTGGTGTCGGCAAGTACTCGAGGAGAAGTATCGTTATTCGTCCTCGGCCTGGAAAAAAATCGGTGCCTCCCTAATTATCATCATCATTCTTTTTAACGGAGCAGTTTGTGTCACCATCAAAGTTAAGCTCGGAGCTCCCTCTTGTGGCGGGATGGAAGGTCTGCGTCTCTCCTGAGTATGAATAAAGTTGCACACACAGCAGATTGAAGAAGCAATTGTTAACCTGCGTGATTCCGGCATCAGTCCTTCATCATCGTTTTGATGGTCTCTACAGATTATCAGGGCATTCTGTTCCCTACTGATCATTTCAGCATCCCTGGGTTTCTTTCATTGCTGTTTGAGGTCTCTGCACACCCAGCCAACCCAGCAACGTTATTTATAATTTGCCGTCTCTGAGGACAGAAGTCTCATCTTTAAACCTCAGTCCGTCCTCCTTCCTCGTCATTGGTCCTTCTTCTAATGCAAATTACAAGTGGAATAACCTGAAAGCAAGACAGAAGTAGTGCCGCCGGCAAGATACATGATGACAGGACCAGGCACCGGGAGGAGGTGCAGAGTTCCTTTTATAGGTGGTTAATGAGGGTCAGGTGTGCAGGTCACAGAGTGGGACGCCTCAAGAATTTGCATAAGGTGAGAGACGCTGGTCTGGGCACAGGAAGTGCGTGGGATATTTGTCAGGGTTCCAGACACAATTACCATTTCTAGATGTTCCCTGGAAGGCAGAAAAACTTTATTCGTGATTTGGGTTCCGCGCTAAAGTGAGATTTTGTGGTGCGGTGGTGCTCGCGGCGTACACAGGAGGGCGACACTCATACAGATGAATATTTATTGTCAAACACATAAAAGCTTAGAATAGATACATCTGTACAAAATGAGCCGGCTTATACAGGCCGCTGTAAACTTTGGGGTACATGTAGTGGGCGGGGGAGGGGGGGAAGTTACAGTTGGGATGGGGGCGGGGAGGTGTAAACTGGGTCATGTGACAAGGGATACAGTCATGACGACATCCATTAACCAATCACGGTGCTGCGCTCCGTCCTGTTGCGTGACCTCTCGAAGAAGGCGTAATCCTGAAAACAGATAAAATGACATCAGGAATGAGAGGCGGGGCTATGACATCATCACCGTGACATCACTTGTAGAGGAAACACAAAATAACACAGAGAAGCCAAAACATGAGAGGAAGTGAGAGCGAGAAGATGTACAAATACCTACAAATCAGCCATGCCTACTGCACATATCTATATCTGACCTCCGTCCTCCCCTTCAATCTTCTATCTGACCTCCGTCTTTCCCTTCAGTCTTCTATCTGACCTCCGTCTTTCCCTTCAGTCTTCTATCTGACCTCCGTCTTTCCCTTCAGTCTTCTATCTGACCTCCGTCCTTCCCTTCAGTCTTCTATCTGACCTCCGTCCTCCCCTTCAGTCTTCTATCTGACCTCCGTCCTCCCCTTCAGTCTTCTATCTGACCTCCGTCCTCCCCTTCAGTCTTCTATCTGGCCTCCAGTCTTCCCTCTAGTTCCCCCCTGTCATTACTGTATCCCGCAGTAATATAGGGGCAGATGGATGAAACCACACAGAGTTAGGGGTGAGGTAGACATTTCGGGTGTCAGGAGTTAGGTTGAGGATTGAAGTTAGTGAGAGGTTTAGGTGTGGGGGATCAGGCTTAGGTTGAGGTTTTGGGTCAGAGCATGGATGGAGGTCAGAGTTGGAGAGACATGTCAGGTGTCAGGTATGAGGGCTGAAGGTTGAAGTTAAAGATAGAGTTAGGTTAAAGTTTGGGTTCAGAGATCAGAGCATGGGCGGGGTTCAGAGATCAGAGCATGGGCGGGGTTCAGAGAAATCAGCATCACACTGTCATTGGCTACTTCATATATAGAGATAAAATAACTCATCTACAATGTATAAAAGATGAAAGTTTACAAGTCTATACTATTAGGGTTCGGGTTCAAGTGAGGATGAGGTTTCGGGTGAGGGTTGGTGTGATGGTTGGTGTGATGGTTGGAGTTCGGGTTAGGGTTCAGGTTAGAGTTAGGGTTAGAGTTAGGGTTCGGATGAGGGTTGGGGTTAGGGTTCGTGGGATGGTTGGGGTTAGGGTTCGGGTTCAGGTTAGAGTTAGGGTTCGGATGAGGGTTGGGGTTAGGGTTAGGGTTGGTGGGATGGTTGGGGTTAGGGTTCGGATGAGGGTTAGGGTGAGGGTTCGGATGAGGGTTAGGGTTCAGGTTAGGGTGAGCGTTCGAGTGAGGGTTAGATTTAGGGTTCAGGTTTGGATGAGGGTTTGGATGAGGGTTAGGGTGAGGGTTGGTGTGATGGTTGGGGTTGGAGTTCGGGTTAGAGTTAGGATGAGGGTTCAGGTTAGGGTGAGGGTTAGAGTGAGGGTTAGAGTGAGGGTTAGAGTGAGGGTTAGAGTGAGGGTTCGAGTGAGGGTTCGAGTGAGAGTTAGAGTGAGGGTTAGAGTGAGGGTTAGAGTGAGGGTTCAGGTCCGGGTAAGGGTTCGAGTGAGGGTGAGGGTTTTGGGTTAGGGTGAGGGTTCGAGTGAGGGTTAGAGTTAGGGTGAGGGTTCAGGTCTGGGTGAGGGTTCGAGTGAGGGTTAGGGTTCGGGTTAGTCTTCGGGTGAGAGTTAGAGTTAGGGTTCGGGTGAGAGTTAGGGTTAGGGTGAGAGTTCAGGTCCGGGTGAGGGTTAGAGTTAGGGTGAGGGTTAGAGTTAGGGTGAGGGTGAGGGTTAGAGTTAGGGTGAGGGTGAGGGTGAGGGTTAGAGTTAGGGTGAGGGTTCGGGTTCGGGTGAGGGTTAGAGTTAGGGTTCGGGTGAAAGTTAGGGTTGCGGTTCGGGTTCAGGTTGGGGTTGGGCTTTTTCATATTCTCTCAGCAAAATGAGCTGTAAATGCCCCCTGTAGGGGGAGCTCTCACACATGGTTCTTCGGAGAGACTCACCAGCAGGAAGCAGGCGCCCAGTAACACTGCTTTCATCTTCACATCCAGATCTTTCGGGAATTGGATCCCAAAGTTATCGGCATCTGTGAAGATTTCCTTAGGTAGTCCAGTCCACTGCTTACTGATCCGACCCACGCTGCGCGACTCACACAGCGGCTTCACCTAAGACATAGAGAAGGTGAGAGTGAGCAGAGACTGAGATGGGGAGAGGAGAAGGTGAGAGTGAGCAGAGACTGAGAATAGGGGAGGGTGAGGGTGAGCAGAGACTGAGCTGGGGAGAGGAGAG